TATTTTTTCTTGAGAAAAAATTTTTTGTTTGTTTCTACACAAATTTTGGTTACACATGAAAAAACAACTTTTAATAACTGCATCAAAAAATTATGGTTTAATAGCATTTATTGTATTTGATACGATCACATTTGCATGTGCCCATATCTCTGTCTCCCATAACATCATTGTATCGTTATATATATGTCTATTAGATATAAGATATCTTATATAGGGATATCTTATATATAAAATATCCCTATCGACAGTTGACCTTTTACCATCTTCGCGATCACTACTTTTGTCTGATAATTAACTTAACTTTGCTACCTCCTATATTGTGTGTGTGTGTCGCCGTCAGTTCCCTGTTGGGTTATATCATCTCTAGGTGTCCAGCAGGTTGTATTATCTATTTAATATTTCAATTGCTTAATAAATATTTATTTATATCGTTGTTAACCTAAAATGTTATATATATATATATTGTAGTGCGACCCTTGGTAGTTCCTCTAAGGGAATATAAATTAAATAGGAAACTTCAGTACTTAAGGTAGCTATAGCCTAGCCAGCTATCCCCCGTTGGTCCCTTAGAATACTGTCGACGGACATTTAGGCTCTACCCCTAAATAGCGACGTAACAGATTAAAAAGTGTCATTTTTAAGATTTTATATGTTATACGTTTCAAAATAACAATAAATTTAGAATTTTAGAAATAGTATGAAACATGTATAATTTACAAATTCAAATATAGCTTTTTACTACCAATATTTCACTCAGTAGTATTTTTTTCTTTTATTAGATAAAGACTCATTTAAATCATATATATGCATAATTTTTTGTGAAACTTTTTAAAACTATAAAAAACACCAAAAAACTTCAATTTTCTGAATGAACCATTTTAGGACGGACGGGATGTCTGATTCCTATGTACAATAAGTATATAAAATAAAAATGTAAACAAATATATTTGTACAGCTTTTATCATTAATATTATACGTGTAATTATGTTTACTATTCAATGGTTATTTTATTTTTATTCTATAAATACGATAATTGTTAGTATATTTAGATTTTGATTATATCAAATTATGTACGATAAGACAATAACGGTGGGAAAAATTCAGGATACATTTTCATGATGACTAATGGAATAGTAGCATGGTGTTCACAAAGGCAAAAATCGGTAGCACTCTCAACTACTGAGGCTGAACACATGGCAATGAGTCAAGCAGTCCAGGTATCAACTTGGTTGACGCTACTAAAAAGTGATATTCTGAAAACACACTGTTTTGTACGCGGACAATCAAAGTGCCATAAAATTGGTGAGGAATCCAGAATTCCAAAAACAAACTAAACATATAAATGTTTGTTATCATTATATTAACAAATAATATCTATTGCCAAATTGGCAATAATTCAAATTATTATAAAAACCCAAAAGGCCTGACTATCTTAGTCAGTCGACTCCAGTGCCTTATGTCATTCATCAGTCTCAGTACTTGGTTGTCGCTGTCCGGCTTACTACTTAAAGTAAAGTCTTTGTTTTTTTTTGTCCTTTTTAAACCTATCTACTCTTCCACAACATTTCAGAGTATTTGTGTCTTGCACTTCGTCTGCACCTCATACCTAGGTGTTACCCTTATTCCCTTCCTATAACAACAGCCTTTCGACATCCACAGCTAACCCGGAGTGTTAAACGAACACGGTGACTGCTGTACGACAACACGCACGTAAATACCTAGACAACAGGCACCACATCCTCATCTTCATCTTCGTACACATTACATTTACACTTCCCTCTTATTGTGTTACGACAAGTTCTTCATATACAGGGTGGCCCACCACTCACTGACAACTTAAATAACTTTTGATCCAGTTAATATTTTTAGCTGATTTTTTTTTTAAATATTAGTTAGACGTTAGGTCTATAGCTATATCTCAATAATTAATTTTTTTACATTTTATTAAAAATATTAATTATTTTTAAATTTTAAATAAAAAGTAAAAAAAAAATCTAAGATAGCTATTTTGTAGAGTAGAATTTAAGAAAAATTTTAGTAAAAAAATATCTTATTAATATTCAGTAGTAAATATTCTGTAGCGTTTTGAAGTTTGTGAAAATTTGAATTTTCATGTACTATTTTACGGTATTAAACATTGAAATACGTATTGAGAAAAGGACAGAAGAAAACGCTATCTTTTCATGATTACTGTGTATACATATGATGATAGTGTGTATACATTACAAACTTGGCATAAATACCATGATAAGAAATTAGATAAGGCAATTATTACTTATCACTCTCATTCAAAAGTATATTGAAAAGATAGCGTTTTCTTCTGTCCTTTTCTCAATACGTATTTCAATGTTTAATACCGTAAAATAGTACATGAAAATTCAAATTTTCACAAACTTCAAAACGCTACAGAATATTTACTACTGAATATTAATAAGATATTTTTTTACTAAAATTTTTCTTAAATTCTACTCTACAAAATAGCTATCTTAGATTTTTTTTTTACTTTTTATTTAAAATTTAAAAATAATTTATATTTTTATTAAAATGTAAAAAAATTAATTATTGAGATATAGCTATAAACCTAAAGTATAACTATTATTTAAAAAAAAAAATCAGCTAAAAATATTAACTGGATCAAAAGTTATTTAAGTTGTCAGTGAGTGGTGGGCCACCCTATATATCGGGATTATTACATTTTGATAAAAATTTTTGTGTTCTATATTTTATTGGTTTTTTTTTTATATTATGTCTATCTCTAAGTGTCATTTTTATTTTACATGAGTCTGATCAGTTGATTGATTAAGTTCATCCACATTTTGTTTTCTTTCAACATTAATGTTATATTCTTCACTTTCAACCACCGTTTCTGAATTTATTTCTTTATCTTCTTTTCTAATTTTAATCTCTATTTCCGAAGATTCTTATTATTATCCCCGTGGGATAATGTTAGGGAAACTTAATTTAATTAAAAAGAAATTACAATTCGAAAAATAAATTATTACGTCAGATTTATACATATTTTTGAACAAATAGATTGCAAATGATCATTAAAAGACACATCAATTTAAATAACTTTTTTTAAATATTTTATTTCTAATAGCAAATATAGGAAAAGTATATAAAAGTATATTTAATCAACTGGTTGTACTAAAGCATGTGCAATTTTATAAATTTACTTAATGCCTGAAATATTCTTTATGATTTTAAGATTTGACTTTTAGTGTTCTTAAAATATTTTTGGTTCTCAAGTTGTAAGTATATTTTTTTAATGGATAAACTAATTAGCACTTATTTAGTAGTAAATAAAAAATATTCGTAGAATATATCAGCAGGTATTTGTTAAAAAAAGTACATTAAAATCAGAGCTGTTACGTATAAAATATTTTGTTTTATAATTATATTTGAAACACGACTTAAACATGCAATTAAAAACATTGAGTTTAAAAACAGAACAAACAAAATTATGTTTTTTATTATCACGTTTTAAATAAAAAAAATTGATTAAAAATTTAAAACATTAGGAAACTAAAAGCGTGTGGGGAAATATTTATGATAATAATTGAAGCAATGACATGGAAAAGGACCCAGGTGCAAAAAATAATTTTTTGTTTTTTCTTAAACAATGTAGTAAATTCATGTTTAAATAATCTTGTGAAAAATTAAGCCAAATTTCTGTAACGAATAAAAATAATACTGAAAATGATAGAGAGTCGTCTTAAGTCTTTGTGGTATAGATAAACAACGGTTATTTCATTCTCTTGTAAAATTTGTTTTTGTGACCTTTTCCATGTCATCACTTTAACTTTTGCATTATATAACCATAATAATTATTATTTGGACGGAGTAGACAGATTAATCTGACACTTATCACGGCATCTGTACATTGGCGGTTTTTAAAGTAGATTGTATTAATCGTCTAGTCAAAAACACGAGAATCTCGAATAGAGTGGACCCACCTGCACTAATCGGAGGAGTGAGTAAATTTAGATAAAAATTTAATTAATAAATTAAAAGATTTTATTTTTAATATTATTATCTATGAAAGAAAAACATGATTTTGTAGTAGCCATAACAAATTTGTATTAAAAATTTTGTTAATACCAGGATGAGAAATGATATCTCGATTACCTGATGATTAATAAGAAAGGTTCTTTGTATTTAAATTTATATAGAAAGAAGACTGTGATTGTTGGTTTACATAAAAATTAGTTTATACAAAACAATAAACAATTTCGTACAAAATGACAAATTTTATAATCAATCCATCCGTGTGGTATAACAATAATCAAAATAACAATAATGAATATAATATATGCTAATAATTTACATAAATGTAACAGTAATTGACAAACTCACCAATCAAAATTTTGTATACAATTATTATACACCAATGTTCATAGGCAAATACTTAAATCTAATGATTTGCAATTGAACGTATTAAACATAATCCGTGCAATTTAAATAAAATAATAGAAAACGTCATCCGTGTGACTTACAAAACTAGAAAAATGTCATCCATGTGACTTACAACAAAAAATTCAACCACTGAAAAAACACAAAGAAAAAAGAACACGAACAAATGATACTAACACTTATTAAAAACACATGTCGATCGGCCATGATAACCGGCCGACGACGACCAGCGACCGGAAGAGGAAGGGAGGACGAGTGGACCGAACTGATTAGCGCGCTATCTTGTATTTTTAAACAGCGCGTACATCTCGCCTCCCTTGAAGCATTGTGCTTCAATACACTTAAGAATCGGGCAATGGGCATATCTTGACAGCAGGTCGTTTTAGCTGGTTACCATTGGCTAGTCTTACCGTAACCACTCGAACTATCTTGTCCCTTCCCGGATGCACAGCTTCTATTCTTACCATAGGCCATTTTAATGGGGGTGCATTATCTTCCTTTAAAATTGCTAAGGATCCAATAGGAATAGGTTTTTCATCCTTCAACCACTTATTCTTCACCTGTAACGAAGACAAATATTCCATTCTCTATCTACGCCAAAAGTCTTGCATTGNCATTCTCCATCTACGCCAAAAGTCTTGCATTGTTTTTTGCATCAATGCCCATTTTCGTAATCGATTTGCTGGTATATCCAAAAGATCCGGTTCTGGTATCACCTGAGCAGGTCCACCGATTAAAAAATGACTAGGTGTTAGAACCTTAAAATCGCACGGATCTGAAGATAACGGTGTTAAGGGTCTTGAGTTCAAGCACGCTTCAACTTGAGCAAGTACGGTACACAACTCTTCAAAATTAAAACTCGAGCCCAAAATAGTGCGTACCAAATGATACTTACAAGACTTGACGGCCGCTTCCCAAACTCCTCCAAAATGCGGCGCTGATGGTGGTATAAAAATCCATTGTATACCTTCATCAAGCAGTTCATCATATACAGTTCTTCCGGACCTTTGTTTTGCATAATATTTGATTATTTCCCGTTTAGTTCCCACGAAATTAGTGGCATTATCAGACCAGATATGAGATGGCAAACCTCGTCGTGAAATGAAACGTCGTAAACAAGCCATGAAGGCATCGGCACTCAAATCGCTGACGGGCTCGAGATGTACAGCTTTAGTAGATAGACAAACAAACACACTAACATAAGTCTTAATTAATGTGCTCTTACGTATTCCAACCTTAATCATAATAGGACCGGCGAAATCAATTCCAGTGTGCGTAAACGGCCGATTTGCGGACACTCGCGCAGCTGGTAACTGTCCCATTAATGGTTGCATTGGAATGGGCTTCGCTCGAAAACATTTTATACATTTGTTAACGGTTATGCGTGCTAGGTCTCTGCCTCTTAATGGCCAAAAATGTGCACGAATATTTGCTAGTAAACCTTGAGGACCGATATGTAGGAACTTCTTATGGTAGGCTTCGAATATCATTTGAGTCACTCGATGATTGCGTGGTAGCAACGCTGGATGTTTCTGGTTCAAATCTAATTCAGAATGTTTCAAACGACCTCCAACTCGCAATATCCCTTTGTCGAGGAACGGCGATAAATTTTTTAACGGTCCCTTAGTTACGAAATTACCCTTGCTTAATTCTTGTATCTCTGCTGAAAAAGCCTGTTGCTGAACAAATTTAATCCAGATATCACGTGAGTCATTAAGCTCAATAACACTAAGAGGACCTGTTCCTGGTTGAGGTGATGTAGGTTTCGTTCTACGACGGACCCAGGCAATAAACCGCTTCCATATGGCAGTCATGCGCAACAACTTGTGCCAGGTCGAAAAATATTGAAGTAACCTATTATCTACGGGAGCAGTCGTTGTGAGAGTAAACTTAACAGGCCGTCGTTCATTTGACACTTCTTTAGAAACCGTGTATGATTCGTATGTGATTGGCCAATCTTCTTCGACGCCTCTAAGAAAAATAGGACCATTCCACCATAGGTCCGACGACAACAACGCGTCTACATTTATTCCACGCGAAAGGGGATCTGCGGGGTTACAATCGGTAGGAACGTGTCTCCACCTTACATTGCCGATCGCATCTAAAATTTGAGTAACACGATTAGCCACGTACGTCTTCCATTGGGCGGGACTACCCTGAATCCAAGCTAAGACCACCGTTGAATCACACCAACAATACACGTCCTTTGAATTAAAATTGCTCAATTTGACGATTCGATTCATTAACTCAGCTAATAACAGTGCGCCGGAAAGTTCCAATCGTGGTATAGTTAAAGTTTTGGTAGGCGCAACCCGGGATTTGGCACATAATAATCGAACTGTCCATGAATTTAGCCCGATTTGCTGACGTAAGTAAATGCAAGCACCATAAGCACTTTGGGACGCATCACAAAAGCCATGTAGTTCCATTGTGCCTTGACCATCCGTTTTAACCGCACGAGGTATCCTTAACTGGTGCAGTCCTTCTAACTCTTGAATATAAGTAGCCCACCTGACTTGCAACTCTTCGGGCAGAACATCGTCCCAATTCAAATTGATCTGCCACAATTCTTGCAGAAACACCTTTCCTCGGATTAAGACGGGACCTAAAAAGCCAAGTGGGTCAAATACGCTATTTAGTGTTGATAGCAAATCTCTTTTGGTTTTAACGCTTCTTGCTGTTCTTTCCTTACTCAAGAACTTCAATTCATCAGTTATGGGACACCAAATAAGCCCTAGAGAACTCACTGTCATATCCGTGCTAAGTTCTAAAGAATAATGCTTTTCCGTAGAAGCACACGCGAAATGCTCGCGTAATTCCTCAGCATTTGAACACCATTTACGCAGTTGCATACCACCATTTTCTAATATTTTAGAAACCTCCTGATACATGGTCTTTATATCTTCCATGCTGTCAGCACCGCTAAGGTAATCATCCATGTAAAAGTCTTGTAGTATTGATAAGCTTGCCTTAGGATAATCAGCAGCGCTGCCCAGTGCTAACTCCTTAAGAACTCTAGTGGCTAAAAACGAAGCGGGAACCGTCCCATAGGTTACAGTATTAAGTACATAATGTTGTAAAGGCTTGTCAGGTGCATCGCGCCATAATATTCTTTGAAAATGTCGATCATTCTCATGGACGAGGACTTGACGGTACATCTTGGCGACATCTGCAGTAACCACGTACAAATAGTAACGGAAACGCAGCACTATATCGAAAAGCTCTTGTTGCACGACAGGACCGGTCATCAGAATATCATTCAGAGAATAATCAGTAGTGGTTTTCATAGAAGCATCGAAGACAACTCGCAACTTGGTGGTGCTACTTGAATCTTTATACACCGCATGGTGGGGTATATAATAATAAGTACCGGGTGTTGCAACGGTATCATCTATTTTTGACATGTGACCCATCTCTTCATATTCCTTGAGAAAATTTTTATACTCCCTTGCCAATTCTGAATTATTACACATTTTTTTTTCGAGTGTCAGGAATCGTTTGAGAGCCATATTCATTGAACCCCCAAGCACTGATGGTTCTTTTCGAAACGGTAGTCGAACGACAAAACGCCCATCCGCTAATCGACTATGAGTGTCTTGAAAATATCTCTCAAACGCTAACTCCTCCTCATGTTTCGTCTGCCTGATTAATGGTTCTGAATTCATCCACGCAGTGGTTGTTCCTAGTGCACAGACGGTGGATACCTCGACAACGCTATGATCATCATTCTTTGACAAAGGGCCCGAAATTACCCAACCAAGAGCCGTATCGTACAACCAAGGCAAACCTCCTGGCATCACCAACGGCTGTGAACGAATTAGCTCATAGTATATCTCAGCGCCCAATAATAAATCTACTTCTGACGATATGTTGAACTCAGGATCTGCCAACGCATTTCGTACATTGTCGGGTAGACTCCATCCACTAACGTTGAAGGACCGTGACGGCAACGAGACCGTTATAGCTGGCAATATGTGACAACCAATAGTTTTACTGAATGAAGAGTGAACAGCGAAGAAAGATAAATTTGTCCATTGAGATGACTTTGTGTTAACCCCATTAATTCCACAAATTGGTAACATGGCATTTTTAACGTCCAAGTTTAAGCGCCTGGCCATTTTTTGTGTTAATATGTTGATTTGTGATCCGTTGTCCAATATGGCGCGACATGGAAACCTTTTACCGCGACTGTTCTGCACCATAACAACTGCGGTGGCTAATAAGACTTGGGTACTTGTACATGCATTGTGAACCGCGACAGAACTACCAGGTTCAGTCATTGAACTCGTAGAACTAGTTTGTGGTTGCTCTGATGGCACTAACCCACTGGTAGGTGCTTCATCTGCTCTATTGGGAGTGGAAGTAGCATTCCTAGACTGGTACGGTAATCCATGCAACATAGAATTATGTTTCTTACCAGAATGCCGACATAATTGCGATTTGCAGTCTCTTGTACCGTGACCCGAAAGGAGACAGTTAAAGCATAAGTGCTTCTGCTTTACTTCGCCATATCTGTTAGTTAAAGACATAGATTTAAATTTAGGGCAGTGGTAAATCATATGAGTTTGTGAACAGATGGGACAAATTTTAACTCTTTTTTGTACCGATAACACAGTCGAACCACGGTTACTTACCTTTGACTTGTTTACTTGACGACCTTGACCTACTTGTCCTTCAAACGACTCTAAGGAACTAGCACGTGTCTCTAAAAAATCATAAAGCATTTTAAATGTCACGTCGTCATTGGCCTTATACGACAAATCCCATTTTTCTAGTGTAGCAAGATCCAATTTACTTCGTACAATCCCCACTAATAGATCATCCCAATGCTCAACCGGTCGTTTTAAAGAACAAAGAGCTTCCACATGCTTATCAAACGTCGATAAAAAGTTACGCAAATCCTTTGAAGCTGAACTTGCCAAATTTTTCATTTCTAACAACGATCGAACATGGGTGTCTATTAAAAATCGCTTGCGCTCATAGCGATCCTTGAGAAGAGCTAAGGCCCGACTATACGACGAATCGCCAACATCTAATCCATCGATTAAGTCTAACGGCGTTCCTTGTAAACAAGATCTTAAAAAATACAATTTATCCACCTCATCGAGACTAGCAGCATCATTCACTCGTTTCATGAAACAATTATAAAACCTTGGCCATTTTATATAGTCTCCGTCAAACTTCTCTAACGGTAACGATGGTAAATGTGTAACCGACTTCATGCTCAGATTTTTAGCGAGCAAGGACTCTAACCTTGACCACGAGACATGCGAAGACGACTCTTGTGCATGGACATAGTTGTCAGGCGATGAAACCGCTGGCGTTAGCGTAGGTATTAATCTTGATAATCGACCCACCATATCATGATACTTAGATTCAAAATCTTCGCGCTGCTGAGCATGATGATCATCGTCATGATCAATGTCAATTTCCTCAACCTTTTGTTGAACATCTTCAAATTGATTTAAAATAGCAGGGAGAGTATTTAAACGAGACGCGGCTTCTGCATAAGAGGCTGGAGATGGAATAAAACGGTCGATAAAAGTTGCTACTCGAGTTAATGAACATTTTATAATAGCGCGCCTACGCACTAACCCTGCGATCAAGTCAGCATTACACACTCGGGTTCATTATCATAGGCATCGTCCGACATTCTGAAAAATAGCCTTTGAATATTTTACCGCGCTATCCAAAATTTGCTAATAATTTATAATGACAAAACGAAACGTTCAAATAAATAATTAATCTAACAATATCACAACACTTACTACAAATTTTTCCAAATGATTTTTTCACAGAATTTCAAAGTAATAACAATTGATAAAAATCACCAACAGTACTGATACATTAAATAAAGGTAAAAAACTTAATAAATAAGTGTGGGTGAGTGGATCTTATAAATATAATATTTTTAATTTAATACATTTTCTTTTTTTTTTTTCAATTTAGTACTCTAATTATAAAAATTTTTAATTTTCACTGAATATATATTATATATATTTTTTATGTTATTTTTTGTTATTTTATTATTTACTTTTTTTTTTTTTATTTAACACCACACACTTTACAACAATAATGTACTAAGTACTTATGTAACAATTGAAAATATATCAATAATTATAATATTTTTTCTGAAACTAATTGTTGAACAAATAATTAAACAAACAAGACTCAAGTATAAAAAGTAAAACTACAAATAATATTTTAACAAGATAAAAAAAAAAACAAAAGGCTATTTAGGCTGAAAATTATAACTTCAACGTTGTTTTTCTTTTTTATACATACATATCACAGCAGCCCGTCAATTACGTTTTATCACAGTTGCTTAACAATTTGATTTAGAAAAAAAGTAAAAAATCAACTAATTAAAATGGACTGTATAATAAATCAGGCCCGATTGGACCAAATGTTAATACCAGGATGAGAAATGATATCTCGATTACCTGATGATTAATAAGAAAGGTTCTTTGTATTTAAATTTATATAGAAAGAAGACTGTGATTGTTGGTTTACATAAAAATTAGTTTATACAAAACAATAAACAATTTCGTACAAAATGACAAATTTTATAATCAATCCATCCGTGTGGTATAACAATAATCAAAATAACAATAATGAATATAATATATGCTAATAATTTACATAAATGTAACAGTAATTGCCAAACTCACCAATCAAAATTTTGTATACAATTATTATACACCAATGTTCATAGGCAAATACTTAAATCTAATGATTTGCAATTGAACGTATTAAACATAATCCGTGCAATTTAAATAAAATAATAGAAAACGTCATCCGTGTGACTTACAAAACTGGAAAAATGTCATCCGTGTGACTTACAACAAAAAATTCAACCACTGAAAAAACACAAAGAAAAAAGAACACGAACAAATGATACTAACACTTATTAAAAACACATGTCGATCGGCCATGATAACCGGCCGACGACGACCAGTGACCGGGAGAGGAAGGGAGGACGAGTGGACCGAACTGATTAGCGCGCTATCTTGTATTTTTAAACAGCGCGTACAAATTCACTAAAATTATTTCTTAAATGATGAATGAAAATTATTACTTGCAGTTATAAATAATTATATATATTGGGCTCAAATGTAAACTCTAAATACACAAATAGCTGACACATTATATAGTAATTTACATAATATCACAAACGTATATTAACAATTTAAATTCGATTTATATAAAATAAAAAACCACAAAAGGAACAGTCATCGGATTGGTAAATTTTTATTCTGTTGATGTTTTTCTTATATGCACTCGATATAAGCTATTTATTATTACTTTTTTTTCTATGCATAAAACGAATTGATAAATAACGTGTCCATTTAACTTGTTACTCAGTTTCTGTTAAGTGATGTGATATTAATATAGGACATTGCTATTAATTCGAGTTATCGTATTATTTATTCGTCATTACTAAATTATAGTAATTCTATACATTTCTGATCAAGTTATTAGAAAGTTTCTTATATATTTTCAAATCGTGGTATCAATATAAGCTCTTTCTCCATATAAATTTCAGTAATAAGACTAAAGTCTTAACTATTATAATGATTAAATACATACCACAATACATAAATATAATACTAATATTAAGTAATTTAATTAAATATTTCTGATATAATAATCCTATTTTTATTTTTTACCTATATTATTTTTTAGAAACAATGCCACAACATTATTTAACATTAGGTCTCTTCTTTTACACATTTTTGTTTATATGTGAAATACGTCCAGTTTGTAAAGCTTCATGTGCTTCTAAACAAGGTAATTAAAACATTTAAATATAAGAATCGAAGTCATGTAATAAATTAATATATTTGTATATAGTAATAATTTATACATAGACCAAAATAAACAAAAATATATTGAACTGATTATATAAATGTAACTTGCTAAATTATTTACTATCCAAGAATAAAAATTAAAATAAAGAAACACAATTGGAAATTATTTGCTAATTTTTACAAGTATTCATTAAATTTTTTCATTTATACTAAATTAATTTTATTTATAAAAAATGTGAAATAAATTGTTATGAAAATTTCAAAACAAGTAAAAATCAAATGTTATATTTTATATAGATGAAGAATTTTCATTTTGGTTGAACAATTGCCCAGAACCACAGTGGCATGCTGACCATCCATTGCCCATACCTAAATGGGGTATCTCAAAGCCAGTCTTTACAGTTTACTCCTTAGAAGAATATGAAGAACTAGTTAAAAAAATCCAAATGGAATTACAATTATTGTTAAAATCGAAAAAATATGACTCAGTAACAAATTTTATTCGGTAACTTACACTTTACAATACATTTTTAATAGAGAGTGATCCGCTATTTCTCACTTATTATCATCAAAAATACAAGAGTTTTAACATTTTTTTATAAATTAATTATGGATATTTGATGAGCTTTTTCATAAGAAAATTATATTGTTATCGCCATTCCTTATGCTTAAAACTGGTATGAACTTCAGATTTTGAAATGACAAAAGTAGCAAACAAACAACGGATAAATGAAAATAAGAGCGGGTAGGAAAATAGGTACACTTGATTATGTATGTACAAAGACAAATATATATTTACTGTTCTGAAAATAAAATTCTTAAAAAATAAAAGGGAAGAGGGAGAGGTAACTTACATACTAGAAAATATTAATAATATGAAACCAAACGATAGCATAGTGAGTTCGCGGCATAGTATGAACGTGGAATAGTTGGATCAAGTATAATGATATCTGACAGTGATTAAAATCATTATAAAAAAAAACGCTTCGATGCAAATCTTTAGATAGTGTTTAATTTTAAAAAATTGGTGAATTATTCCAAAAGCTACATAATCTGCTAGTTCCTTATTAATATCCTGATTAAGATAAAGTATGTCGAATTAAAAAGGGATTATTAAAAAATATTATTTCTCATTAAAAAATTATTTTAATCCATACGCTTTTCAATAAGTTATATCATTATAAAGTTAAAAATGTAAAAAATAAAATCGAGAATTTTCACACAATAATAGTATTCAGTAGATTTTTTCACCGTGAAGACAAAATAAAGTCCGAATTTTTTTTTTTTTCATAATAAAGTATATTACATCAGATTTAATTTAAGATATATATAAAAGTGTCAGACATTCCGGAACAGTTTCAAAATTTAAGTTGAAAAAGTTGTCATTTTAAATCCACTCTTGTGGTCAGGTAAAGGGTCAAATTTACAAAAAAAATATATCAAATAATAGTTAAAAACATCAAGCATATATAAAAAAAAAAATAATATAGATTTGATCATTTTTGAAAAAGTTATGGCAGTTTTAATTAAAAAAATTGAAAAAATTTCGAAAATTAGAGATTTTTAAATTAGTAATTTTTTTGGAGGTTTCCCCCATTTACGGGGAACGAGGGAATTTTTTTTAATTTTTTAGGGTAATGTCTTTGACTAGATACGATTTATGATCTTTTGACGTATCATTGAAAGAAATCGGTTGGGTGAGAGCTGAGAAAAAGTGGTAACAGACACATAAAAAAAAAAAAAAAAAACACATCTTAGTAAAACCAATACGTTCTCAGCTTCGCATCGAAGCTAAAAATGAGTATTTACATAAAAGAGATAATTAAAACAATAAAAAAATTGTTTTCAAATTATTACTGATATTCATTTTAACATGTCAAAAATAATCAGAACAAAATATTATTTTTAACCTATTTTTTTGGTTCTTTAAATTTGTTTTCCTGAAAGTTTATACTAAAAAAATAATTATTTATTACTATAACTTTTAGCTCATCTTCCAAGTTTAAAAATGACATCATAAAATAGAAAATTTTATGAGAATTAAAAAAATGTTATTGTTAAGATTAATATGCAGTCAGTAAATTTTATGATAAATTTTTATTCATATATTATAATTATAAATCATAAAACTACTAATTAGGAATAATGAAGGAAATAGGAGTTAATTTGGTTTTTAGAAAAACCACTAATTTCTTAAAATGAATACTATCTACAGATTTGCATTAAAGCGTTTGTTATGATAGTGATTTTAATCACTGTCAAATATACTTTTATACTGTACCTAACTATGCAACGTCCTCATTGTGCCGCGACCCACTGTGCTGGGTTTTTTTTTATTTCATTAATATTATTTAAAATTCCATTAAAAGTAAAATACTGCTACCCTTTATTTACTCAGTACTTGATTAGTACATATATTTACTACCCGGTAAATCTCTAGTATTAAGTGAGTAATCCATGCATATATATTTTTCTTTATTTTAAACAATTGCGTACTGACGTACTGATTTTTTACACATGGTTTTCTTTAAAATATAATTGAGTGTTTCTGTTGTCGCTGATTCAGATTATACTTATAATAATTCTAATTTAAAAGTTTTTAAACTTATATTTTAAACTATAAAAAAAAGTAACTTAGTAACTTTAATCTAACTTAAGTTACTACTTTCAACTACTAGTTAACTAAGTTAGAAATTTAGAAATTGTCAGAAACTATAGTGAGCCAAAAGTAAGATTTTAATAATGGGATGTTAGAGTGAAATAAAATTGGGTTTGTTTATTAATTAATTTGGATTTTTGAGCACTTGAATAAATTTAATTATCTTACTTTCGGTTACTATAATTCAGTTTGTTTAATTTTATTGGGGTCGTGGAGTCTGAGGGTTTAGAGGATGACAATACAATCAGTTAAAGGGTTATGACGAGTATTGAAATTTAATATGTTTATTAAACTTATAATAATTGGTAAATCATTTGAATAGTCTTACGTTTCAAGGGCACAGGCTTAGGTCGGTAAACTATGAAACACAATAAGAAAATGTGTAGGTACGATCTTAGGTCAAGCACTTCGAACGAATTTAATAATTCTTCTGAATAAACTAGCTAATATGTTTAAATGAAAAAAGATAAATTAATTATTATTGTTTTGTCATTCTCTTCTCGGATTAAATAATTCTAAATTATCGGAATGACAATGTATCACCTACTTTATAATATTTTCTTCAGAGTTGAATGAACAAGACTGATAAGTTTTCTTTTGAATTTTTTTGAGACTGGTGGTCAATTGCTACATTTGAGTCTTGACTTGAAAAGTGGAATGAAGGAGAGTTGAATAAAACCTTTTACAGCTTTTTATATGAAATCTATGATCTATATATATCATTAAAATGTAAAATTTGACTACAATTTAAGTAGGGATAATATGTTACATTGGTTATGGTACATTTGATTATATTCTTAGGGATACTGTTACTTAATACATTATCTTTGTAAGTTAATTTAATGTGTTTACATTTATGGTACGAATATTAATTTTAAACTGAATAAGTATATACATTGTATTAATTACATCAGCGATTATGCTATAATATCAATTTGAGATGATTGTTTTATTTTGTAATACACATTGCGAATAATATTAGAGCGATGAACGATATCACAACAAAATTAACTTATATTATAACATATTTAGTTTTTATTTTAAAGTTATTTAACTTACACTAATTTGAAAAGTGATTAACGTTCCATCTTTTATTGTTGATTAGGTATTAGGTATAGTGTAATTTTAGAATAATTAAATTTTTCTAAATTTATTTACTACTGGCTAGGGTTAAAATATTCAACTTGCATATAATAATGGACATTTAAATAGTTTAATATTCAAACTGATTAGATTGTTTAAAAACTATATAAATAAACGTGATAATAAATATAAAAATCTAATCTTACCAAGATAACTGTCATAATATCATAGACGTTAACAAATTATATTTTTTGATTATAACAGTTATAAATGAACTATTTGTATCATATCAAATATCTTGTTATAGTATTTAAAAACTATGCGCAAAATCGTCTTTTATAAATAAGTTTACCAAGCTTACCTTCTTTATTTTGACTACATCCGTTGTCACAGAATATCTTTAGCTCTTAGTGTTACATAAAATTATGTGTCCGTGTTGGAAGAACTATTGCGTTTTTTCTTCAAATATCGTTAATTTCAAAGTAGCGTATCTCGTTTAAATTTCATAAAATTAAATTTTTTCTGCTAAACATTTTTTCTTTATGATTGAATGTATAAAATAAGAATATATAAAAATAATATGGAGTTGCCATTTAAAAATCTGAAATTGAAACAAGCTTTAAGCATAAGGTATGGTGGTAGAAGTTTAATTTTTCTTTTGATACAGCTCATCAAAGATCCTTAGTGATTAAAAAAAAAATTGTTTATAACACTTGTATTTTTTGAGATATTACGTGAGATATAGTTAGCAGATCACTCTGTAATGTAACATATTAGGTATATTTATCTAATTTTTTAGGTTTTATAATTACTATAAAAGTGAAACGGATCAGTCATTTGAACAATTTTTCAGAGGATATGAACCAAAATTAAACAAAGAAGCAAATAATTGTGTTGGACTTTCATTATTGTTAATTGGGAAATTAGCACAACTTGATGAATTTTTTCCCGAAATTTCTAAATGTTTATACATAGTGTCATGCGATAGATTTTTGAATGTATGTTATTTTCTTTTTGGAACAACATGTTTTCAATAAACAACTTTTTATTCATCTAATAAAGAATTAGGTCAGACTATTTAGAGTAAACAATAGGTCTAGATTATGGTTCAAGCAAGCATATAACACTACTCTGCTCAGAGAACTAAAAATACTGTATTTAGATATTTTTCCATTATTTTAGATTCGATGCGAAGCTGAGAAGGTATTAATTTTACTATGATGTTTTTTTTTTTTTTTTGTGTCTTTTACCACTTTTTCTCAGCTCTCACCGAACAGATTTCTTTCAACAATACGTCAAAAGATTAAAAATTGTATCTAATTGAAGACATTACCCTCAAAAATTGAAAAAATTTCCTTTGTTCCCCGTAAATGGGGAAATCTCCAAAAAAATTACAAATTTAAAAATCGCTATTTTTCGAAATTTTTTCAATTTTTTTAATTAAAACTGCCATAACTTTTTCAAAAATGATCAAATCTATATTTATTTTTTTTTTATATATGCTTAATGTCTTAACCTATCATTTGATATATTTTTTTATAAATTTGACCCTAGACCTGTCCACAGGAGGGGTTTTTAAATGGCAACTTTTTCACAAAAAATTAACTTTTTCAACTTAACTTTTAAAGTGTTCCGGAAAGTTTGACACTTTTATATATATCTTAAATTAAAGCTAATGTAATATACTTTATTATGCAAAAAAAAAAATTCGCACTTTATTTTGTCTTCACGGTGAAAAAAGCTACTGAATACTATTATTGTGTGAAAATTCTCGATTTTATTTTTTACATTTTTAACTTTTAATGATATAAAGTTAAAAATGTATATATCATTACAATTTTTTCATGAAAAGTAGTAATTATATACATCTTTCATTTGACATACTTTTTTTTTAAACTGGACCATTTCCCTTAATACAGGGGGGGTTCAAAACATAAAAATGCATATAGAAAGTAGAACTTTTTCAACTTAATTTTTGAAAGTGTTCCGGAAGGTTTGACACTTTTATATATATCTTAAGTTAAAGGTAATGTAGTATACATTAATAAAAAAAAAAAACGGTAGCACAGTGGGGTCGCGGCATAGTGGAGACATTGCATAGTAGGGTCCAGTATAGATTTAATCTGACAGTGATTAAAATCACTATTATAAGAAACGCTTCGATGCAAATCTGTAGATAGTGTTTAATTTTAAAAAATTGATGGATAATTGCAAAAGCAACATCAACTTCTATTAAAATAAAATACAAAACCCATAATTATCATACAAAAATAGTATATTTTTCAATATGGTAGCCATTTGCGTATAGAAGATAGATCGTCGGGACAAATTTTTTTTTT